TGCGGGCGCCTCCGCCATGCGGGTCAAAAGAACGACGCAGAGTGCTCACCACGAGGCGCCCGCGCACGGCCCAGGTGTGGCCGCAAGGTGTGTGCGTGTGTTTGCGTGTGTGTGTGTGTGTGTGCATTGTAGGTTTTGACAGGGATGGTAGGCTTGTGCATCGGGGGTGGACAGAACCCCCACCCCGACACGTCGATTGGTGAATTGTCCGTTTTCGGTCATCGAGAGGGCGCTGCGGCCGTCATTTCCAGGCTTGCGCCCTCCAGGTTTGGGCCCCACGGTTTATGAAATGAGGTATAGATTTTGGCCTCCTAAATAGATGGGGTCCGAGTAGATGGGGTCGCAGGATCGCGCCGCATCGGCTCGATGTGGAGCCCGTGTTTCTCCACGCCGACGGCGCCGATACATCGCCCACGTCGACGATGCATCGCCAGTGCATCGCCGATGCATCTGCGATGCGGCGCGATCCTCCGACCCCATCTTCTCGGACCCCTTCCAGGAGGGCTCTAACAGAGCGGACAATATGAGAGCACTCCCGCCGTCCTTGTCAAAACCAATACGACGTCGTCGCGGGACGTGCGCGCATGATTCAGACTTTGGTGCAATGGGCAGTTCGTATGGTTTTCTGTCAGGGATGGTGGGGTGGCCCTCATTGGCCAGGGTTTGTGGCCGGTCGGTTGGGGAACCGAGTGAAATTTGATAATGATTGGTGATCAAGCTACCCCCTCGATGGACTTCTGTCTCGCTCACTCCCACTCGCCCTCCCAACACAGGCAGTACCCGAGCGGAGGATCTCAATCCCAATGAGTTCATGAGGTGGAATCCCCCCTGCAAACAGCCGGCAATCTGCGGTCCCCCCGCCGTCCGTGTCAAAATCCAACGCAAAGTGGTCGCGGGGCGCCCGCGCATGATCCAGATGCTGATGCAAAGCTCACTTTACATCATTTGACATAGACAGGGGGCCTGCACGCAGCAGGCAACATGACGGCTCACCCGCCGTCCCTGGCAAAGTGCATTTTGTAAGTTTTCATTGGAAGGGGTGGGGGGGCCTGCACACAGCAGGCAATATGAGGCCCCCCCCCGCGGTCCTTGGCAAAGTACGCTGTGTAGTTTTTGTTGGCAGGTATGGCGGGCGTGTACGGCAGGCGATATGCCTGCCCCCAGCCGTCCTTATCAAAGTGCATTTGAATTTTTGGGGTTTGAAAGGGTTGGTGGGCTTTCACACAGCAGGCAATATGAGGGCACCCCGGCCCTCCCTGTCAAATAGCGGTGCAAAGTGATCGCGGGGCGTCCGCGCATGATCCAGGTTTGGGTGCAACGTGCATTTTTCCCCAAACAGCTTGCTGAACGGGGTGCTGTTGTGATAGAAGCTAACTCCGGCCGAGGGAAGGGGAAGCAGAGACATCCTCACAAAATTTGATGGTCCGGGCCGTTTCGCTTGAGACATCCTCACAACTCTTGTTTCTGAGTTGGCCGGGACAGGCCGTTTCGCCCGAGACATCCTCGAAAAGTTGCGCTCCGGGACGCCGCGCGAGAGGTGGTCCAGGCCGTTTCGCTTGAGACATCCTCGAAACTCTGAGCCCCGAGGCGCCGTGCGAGAGGTGGTCCGGGCCGTTTCGCCTGAGACATCCTCGAAACTCTGAACTTTGAGATGACGCTTGCGAGGTGGTTCGGCCCGTTTCGCCTGAGACATCCTCGAAACTCTGAACTCTGAGATGCCGCGCGAGAGGTGGTCCGGCCCGTTTCGCCTGAGACATCCTCGAACTTCTGAGCTCTGAGATGCCCTGCGCGAGGTGGTCCAGCCCGTCTCGCCTGAGACATCCTCGCAACTCTGAGCTCTGAGATGCCGTGCGCAAGGTGGTCCGGCCTGTTCCGCACAAGACATTCTCGCAACTCTGAGCTCCCAGATGCCGCGCAAGAGGTGGTCCAGCCTGGGGGCCCAGAAGACATATCCTCCCTGGGACCCTGGGAGCCCGCCTGAGACATCCTCGAACTTCTGAGCTCTGAGATGCCCTGCGCGAGGTGGTCCAGCCCGTCGCCTAAGACATCCTCGCAACTCTGAGCTCTGAGTGCCGTGCGCAAGGTGGTCCGGCCTGTTTCGCACAAGACATTCTCGCAACTCTGAGCTCCCAGATGCCGCGCAAAAAATGGTCCAACTTGAGGGCCCAGAAGACCACATGTTACATATCCTCCCTGGGACCCTGGGAGCCCCAGGAGGCCCCAGAGAGCTCCTCCAGGTGGCCGCAGGACGCCTAGGACAGGCCCCAGGGGTCCCCAGGAGATTCCCAGGAGGCTCCCAGGAGGCCCCAGGAGGCCCCCTATCAGAACGTGTCAAGTTAATTCACATCAGGTGTCGATTCGTTGATTTTTCCTGCTCTTGCACGTTTCGCCCGAGACATCGTCGCAACTCTGGGGTCCGAGATGCCGCGCGCGAGGTGGTCCAGCCCGTTACGCTGGAGACATCCTCGCAACTCTAGGCTCCGAGATGCCGTTCGGGATGAAGAGGAGGAGGAGGAGGAGGAGGAGGAGGAGGATGGTGACGGATGATGTGCATGAGGGAGCAGGCATTGCAGGAGAGGACGGGAAGCGAGTGCGACGTGGACTTGTCAGAACGTGTGCGAGAGATTGTCCGGCCCGTTTCGTTTGAGACATCCTTCCAATACTGAGCTCCAAGATGTCGCTCGCGAGGTGGTCCGGCCCGTTTCGATTGAGCCATCCTCGCAATGCGAGGCTCGAAGATGTTGCGCGCGAGATGGTCTGGCCTGTTCTGCCTGAGACGTTTCGTGGCACAGGGGCTCCAATCACAACCTCTCTCATTCCTTCTCCCGCCTCCCGCTTCCCACTTCCCGCCTGGCTCCTCTTCCCTCCCTCCTCCCGCCTCCCTCCTCCCGCTGCTGCGCCTCTGCCTCCGCCTCCCCGTCCCCGCCGTCGTCGTTTCTTCCGCCTCAGCATCCGTTATGCGCGCACTGCCTTCCGCCCTCCCCAGACATCCGACGTCACGATTTTTCCCCAAACGGCTTGCTGAACGGGGTGCTGTTGTGATAGGAGCTAACTCCGGCCGAGGGAAAGGGGAGCAGAGACATCCTCACACAAATCTTATGTTCCGGGCCGTTTCGCTTGAGACATCCTCACGACTCGCGTTTCTGAGTTGGCCGGGATTGGCCGTTTCGCCTGAGACATCCTCGACAAATTGCGCTCCGGGACGCAGCGCGAGAGGTGGTCCGGGCCGTTTCGCTTGAGACATCCTCGAAACTCTGAGCCCCGAGGTGCCGTGCAAGAGGTGGTCCGGCCCGTTTCGCCTGAGACATCCTCGCAACTCTGGGCTCCGAGATGACGCTTGCGAGGTGGTTCGGCCCGTTTCGCCTGAGACATCCTCGAAACTCTGAGCCCCGAGATGCCGTGCGAGAGGTGGTCTGGCCCGTTTCGCATGAGACATCCTCACAATTCTGGGCTCCGAGATGCCGCTTGCGAGGTAGTCCGGCCCGTTTCGCTTGAGACATCCTTGAAGCTCTGAGTTCTGAGCTGCCGCGCAAGAGGTAGTCCAGCCCATTTCGCCTGAGACATCCTCGACACTCTGAGCTCTGAGATGCCGCGCGAGAGGTGGTCCGGCCTGTTTTTCGCTTGAGACATCCTCGAAATTCTGGGCTCTGAGACTCCACGCGAGAGGTGGTCCGGGTCTCTTCGCCTGAGACACCTTCGAAATTCTGAGCTCTGAGATGCCTTGCGCGAGGTGGTCCAGCACGTTTCGTCTGAGATGTCCTCGAAACTCTCAGCTCTGAGATGCCGCGCGCGAGTTGGTCTGGCCCGTTTCGCCTGAGACATCCTCGACACTCTGAACTCTGAGATGCCGCGCGAGAGGTGGTCCGGCCCGTTTCGCCTGAGACATCCTCGCAACTCTGATCTCTGAGATGCCCTGCGCGAGGTGGTCCAGCCCGTCTCGCCTGAGACATCCTCGCAACTCTGAGCTCTGAGATGCCGTGCGCAAGGTGGTCCGGCCCGTTTCGCACAAGACATTCGCGCAATTCTGAGCTCTGAGCTGCCGCGCAAGAGGCGGTCCAGCCTGGGGGCCCAGAAGACCACATCTTACATATCCCCCCTGGGACCCTGGAGCCCCAGGAGGCGCCAGAGAGCTTCAGGAGGCCGCAGGACGCCTAGGACAGGCCCCAGGGGTCCCCAGGAGATCCCAGGAGGCTCCAGGGAGGCCCCAGGAGGCCCCCTATCAGAACGTGTCAAGTCAATGCACATCCGGTGTCGATTCGTTGATTTTTCCTGCTCTTGTGCCCCCCCCCCCCCCCCGCATTTTGGGGGGCCCAGAGGCCCACCTGTTAGATATCCCCCCCTGGGAGCCCACGAGGCTTCAGGAAGCCCCAGGTGGGGTCCAGGAGGCCTCAGGAGGCCCAGGAGGAAGCCCCAGGAGGTCCCCAGGAGGCCCCAGGAGGCCCCCGCAACTGGGAGCTCTGAGACGCCGCGCTCGAGGTTGTCCGGCACGTTTCGCCTGAGACTTCCTCGCAGCACGTTTCGCCCGAGACATCGTCGCAACTCTGGGGTCCGAGATGCCGCGCGCGAGGTGGTCCAGCCCGTTACTCTGGAGACATCCTCGCAACTCTGGGCTCCGAGATGCCGTTCGGGATGAAGAGGAGGTGGAGGACAAGGAGGAGGAGGAGGAGGAGATGGAAGGGAGAAGGAGGAGGACGACGTGGATGAGGGAGTAGACACCATGTTATCATGTGCGAACATCTCATGTGCTAACATCATGCCATCATGTTCTAACATGCCATGTCAGCCCGCACTGGACGTGCACGGAATCGACCTTGGAAACCGCAGTGGGTTTAAAAACCCTGTTTGGGGATATTGCACTCTATATGTTCTTGAACGGTTTGAGCTTGGGCTTTTGTAATTCGGTGATGTATAGCCACAATCAGACCTGCTAAACGATCCAGGAGTTTAAACATCGGAACTTCGCTCTCCCCCTGGTCTGCCCCCTCTCCCCCTCTCTCCATAGCCTGTCTTCGGCTCAGAACGGGCGGATCACCGCATGCTTTCCCCAGGTTCCGCTGCGGTGTTTCCGGCCTTGAGCTTGGCGCTGCTCGCGGGGCTAGGGTGGCGTCTGTCTCCTCCGCCTCTGGTGCCTGAGCCGCTGCCTGTGTCTCCAGCGTGGCTCGAGGAGGTCGCGGAGGCCTGTGAGGCGGCCTCCTCCGCCGCCCTGTACGCCGAGTCGGCAGCTCGGGCGGCGCTCGACGTGGCAGCCTCGCCGCCGCCCCCTCCGCCTCCGCTGGCGGACTGCGAGCCCTGCGTGTGCCCGGAGCAGCAGGGTGACGACGAGCTGAGAGCTCTGGTGGTGCACGTGCTCGTGGGTCTTCTCACGCCAGTGTGGCTCTGGTTGACGGATCGTTGCTGCAGCAACCCGAATCGCCCAGGCCTCCGACGACATGCTGGGCCGCCGCGGGCGCCGGGCACCCCTGCCCCCGTTGCCCGCGGGGGAGGCGTGGTGCGCTGACCTGCCCTGCGGGGCTCGCGCCAAGGTGAGCTACCTCGGCGACCTCGTGGATCACGAGCGGGTCGTCGTTTGGCCGTCGAGGCGCGAGGAGGACGGGGAGGTTGTCGACTCGCACCTGTACTGGGTGCTCTCGCCGGACGGGGACCTGTGGGAGGAGCTTCTCTCTGGAGCCTCCCCGGCCGACGGCCCCTCTGGCGGTGAGCGCCCGGCAGCCGGCGCCGCTCCTCCCGCGGGAGACCGTAAGCTCTACGGCTTCAGAGAGAGGCTCACGCTGAATCGGCTGGTGGAGCTGGCGGAGGAGTGCAGGGCTGCGATGGAGGCTCGCGGGCAGACGCTCGCGGAGGCGCCGGCCAGGATCGAGCTCCCGTCGGGCGTCCTGCTGAACATTGGCGAGGTGTTCCCGTGGGCCCCCCCGCCGCGCGCGTGAGTCGAAAGGTATATTCCCAGCCAGGTGACCTCTGCTACGCGCGCGTTGCGGCCAGCCCTCACCGTAACCATTAGGCTCGAGTCAGAGAATCAAGCTTTGTTTCACACGTACTGGAAAAGATCTCTCCTACATCCCATTCCTATTCTCAACTTTGGTAGCGGAGCGGGGGACTAAGATCCTTCGCTTCTTGGACGCTACCGCTCGCCTTCGTGCGAGCACCACTGTACAGCCACTCCGCAGAACAACATGTCGGCACCACCGCCGACTGCAGCTGCTCCTTCGGGGACGGTGTACGGCAGCACCAGCCTGAAGGTGCCTCCAAGATGGGACCCGGGGACGGCGTCCACGTACCCTTTCCGCAAATGGGTACAAGATGTGATGCTGTGGTCGATGGTCACAGACCTCCCGATCAACCAGCAGGCGCCGGCGGTCGTGCTACAGCAGACGGGCACGGTCCGCGATATCCTCCGGGCCATCGACGTGAACGTTTTGGCCAATGGTGGCCCCATCGACATGATGGACGGCCGGGGCCCTGTCATGCAGACCGGTTTGACGATTGTGCTATATGTGATGTCTCAGAAGTTCTTGCCGCTTGGCTACGAGCAGAACGTACAGGCAGCTCAAGCGTATCTTGGCTTTCAGCGTATGAGCGGCGAGACGATCGACGCTGCGCTGTGCCGCTACGCCACGGCCCGGTTCAGGGCGAACGAGGAGGCCAACTTGAACCTTGGACCTACAGGCACAGCATACCATTTGTTGCGGGCACTCCACGTGTCTCCACAGATGTGGACGCTGCTGCTGCAGCCGTTCGGCGGCAACATGCCGACGCAGGAACAGGAGCTCATCCAGATGGAAGAACACCTCCGCCGCCAGGGCCACTTGCTTGAGGGCGTGATGAACCAGTCACCCCAGCAGGGCGCGCACTTCGCGGACGGAGGCCTTGGGAGCTTCTTCGCCGAGCCGGGGGGCGGTGCTCCGTCCGTTCCCCAAGGGGCCGCGGCTTCGGGCGGATTCTTCCCGTGTTCTGCCGCGGCTGCTCCGGCCATGGCCGGATCAGGTACCGGCTGGCCAGACGCGCACCCAGGCATGGAGTGCGAGGCGTGCGGCATGTACGTATACGACGAAGACGACGACGGCTCGTCGAGCGCCACCTCAGAGGAAGGGCCGCCACCAGACCACGACCAGCAGGATTACAGCAACCAGAAGGCCAACGAGCTTCATCAAGCATACGTGCTTGCGCGCCGAAAGTGGAGGCACTTCACGGGCAAGCACGCGAGGGCCTCGCGACGCCCTGCCCGCAAGGGTTCGGGCAAGAGCCGGTCTTGGGGCAAGCAGCCCGGAAAGGGCAAGTCCGGCAAAGGCCTTGGTTTCGGCAAGCATGGTGGCATCTACCACAGTTCTGCTGGCTCCAACTCGGCCTACTTCGGTGGCAAGGCGAAAGGCCGGGGCAAGAAGAACCCCACGGGAAAGGACGGCAAGGTTCTGACATGCCACCAGTGTGGTTCCGACGAACACTTGGTGGCGCACTGCCCGAAGCGCCCGCGGTTCCACTACGCGGACGGTGCCGCGCCGGCCGCGCCCCAGACGGACCAGACGCAGCAGATCCAGAGGATGATTTCTGGTGGTGTGGCGGAAGGCTGCGCGGCGCGCCAGTTCATGGGCGCCTGCGGCTACCACCAGCCAGTGGCGACCACGAGCCTTGGCATGTTCTTCACGCAGGCGCAGCACATGGTTGTGAATAGCCAGATGCAGCAATCTTCGCCCTCCTGGGGACTTGTTGGCCAGCCAGCCACATTTCCTGGCCAGCAGCAGCCGCTCCAGCTGCAGGACAGCGGGCGCCACCGACGCCGAGCCCCTGCGCGAGCGCGTGTGCGCGAGCGCGCGGCCGCGTCAAGAAGTACAACGACAAGGAGCGCTGGGGCATCATTGTCCCGAGCGACGGCGGCAAGGACATCTTCATCCACGCGTCGAATGTCACGGGCCCCTCGCTCTCCGCCGGCGCGGAGGTGACCTACGAGGTTGACTGGGACGACAGGCGCGGGAGGCCGCAGGCCGTAGCTTGCAGGCTGGATCACGGAAAAGCTGCCCATTCCGACGGCGAGGACCCGTGGGTCCGCGGAGATCCCTGGGGAGGCCCAGCGGCGGCCGCGCCGCAGCCACAGCCACCAGGATGCTTAGCGATGGTCGAGAACATCGCGGCTGCTCCTGGCAGCCCTGCTACGGCTGGATTGGCCCCAGCCTTTGAGCCCGGAGCTCAGTGGCCAGCTGGATCGGTACCAGCGCCAAGCGGAATGTCTGGATCGGCTCCAGCATTCACTCCGTGTTTGGCTAAATGCCAGAATCTGTCATCCATCATTCAAAATCTGTCACACATCACTCCTCCTCAACCTCCCCTTCAGGCAGAGGATGCGAGGACGAGGATGAGGAGTGATATCACACCTGCCGGCGCGACGAGTGATATGACACCTGCCGGCGCGACGAGTGATATGGCACCTGCTGGCGCGAGGCAGAGTGAGATGACACCTGGCGGGACTGGCGGCGAGACCCTGGCACAGAGAGGCGATGCCGGATTGGAGCCGGCACCAGGCACCCTTGCATCCAGCGTTGTTACTCCGCAGGCTGCCGCCTATTCCGCCTCCCAGATGATGGCCGGATCGGCACCGGCGTCAGAATCCACATCATATCTGGGCCATGGTATCCCAATGATTGGATCGTCACCATCCCCATCTAGGCCACTTCTCGCTCAAGGGACGGCTGGATTGGCACCAGCGTCAAGGCCACCCATAGGCCACGGCTTCGCAGGATTGGTCCCTGCGGCGCCTGCAGGATCGGCACCTGCATCTCTAGCCACGGTGGCTCAATCGTGGCAACGCCCTGGATCGGCACCAGGGCCGCTGGTTGACCATCAGCCTGGATGGGTACCAGGTGCAGGTGTTAATCAGCCTGGATTGGTGCCAGGTGTAGGTGTTAATCAGCCTGGATTGGTACCAGGTGTAGGGCTTAATCAGCCTGGATTGGTACCAGGTCTGTCGTTAGCTGGTTGTCCAGCTCCTGGCGCGGGGTTCGCGCCGCAGCCACCACCACAGCATGATCAACCCCAACGGCGACGACCTAATCGCGGCCACGACGATCACGAGGACCGCACGCAGCAAATGCACGCCATCAGCAACATCCTACGACCACGAGCACCTCAACTCCACTATCCCTGGGGCCCACGCATGGTTGAGCTTGACATGAGCATGAACGGCGGTGGTGGTGAGGCTGAGTATTGGCACTCGAGGGCCCGCCTGAAGGGGCCGGACCGCGAGGGCCTCCTCATCGACCCAGGCGCTCACGACAATCTGACTGGAGACGCCTGGGTCCGCCGCGTCCAGGCCATCCTCAAGAAACACAACATGGACGTCGATGAGATGAACATGGATCGTTCCTTGACCGTGGAAGGGGTCGGAGCCGGGCCCCAGGACTGCAACGCGAAGGCTCTCGTGCCCATGATCTTGGAGACCGGCGACACGGGCACGTACCAGAGCCCTGTCATCCCCAACTCCGACGTTCCAGCACTACTGGGAATGAAAACCTTGGAACAACGACGAGCACTCATCGACATCTCCGGGCAGAAGCTTTATTTCTTGGGATCTGGTGATTACGAGATCAAGCTGCCCCCAGGCAGCTTAACCTTAAACTTGGAGAAGACTGAGAGCGGACACCTTCTTCTGCCAATCACGGAGTTCGATTCGATCTCAACACCCACACCCAAAAACACAGAGCACATACAGCAGCAACAGTCGACGAGTCAGTTCCCCGTTGTGCAGGGGGGACAAATGACGACTTCACCGACGACACCTTGCACTGGCGTCTCGGCCGCCCCTGCGTGCTCAGGCAATGCTGTTGGAGGTCCGCACAGGGCCGAAGGCAGGGCCGGCGCCCCACCAGGCGCGAGCAAGCAGGTTCGATTCGACGACGCCCGCGAACTCCCGACTCCGTGCATGATGAGGCCTTCCGGCAATGCGGAGCCGGCCGTCGCTCGGCGTGGAGCTGGCGGATTCTCTCGAGGCAGTGCTGCCGAAAGCCCGCACAGGACCGGAGGCAGGGCCGAGGCCTCACCAGGCAGCCGAGAACCGTTACGAGCAGGACATCGACACTACGATGGGCACGCCACGACCGAGCAGACGAAGGGCCTCCAGAATTCGACATCGAATCCAAATTTACATTTACACTCATCTGCATCAGAATCTTATCTCGTTTATCTCTACGACGACGAAAACGGCATTCGACAGAGTGCCCTGCGCGACGAACGCCTTCGCACCCACAACGTGCAGATGCGCAGGAACTACAGTCACGATCATCTCAGATACCAGCTCATGGACATCCGCAGCCAGGAGCCTGACTTGCTCTGGATGCGGCTCACGGGGTGCAAAACACCACGTGGAGACCGACACGACGAGCGACAGAGCCGATCGATGCTGACGCTGATCAACACGCAGTTGGATCAAGGACGGCACGTCTTGATCGAGGGCAACCTGCGCGACTATGCGTGGGATCTGCCCGGCGTTATGGCGATGAGGTCCGACAAGCGACTCCACCACTCCCAGCATTTATGGTGCAACTATGGCGTGGTGGACCTGGACACCAACACGCCCATTCATCGGAACACGTTGGTTTTGTCATCGTTTCCCTTGCCAGACCGGTCGGTCTGCAAGTGCACCTCGCCGCCGCCATCGTCGACGACTGGCCGGACTCGCAATTCGAAGGACATCATGATGCTCATCGGATTCATCGTGAACTTTGTTCGGACCCTTCTTCCGAGCTTCCGGGCCGCCTCTGGCCGCCCTGGGTCATATCGCAGCAAGGAACAAGGAGACGTACCAGAGTCGAAAACACGAGTTACAACCACGATCGACGAGTCCGACGTTAACGACGATAGCCTGGATCAGATTCGGGAGGCTTTCCCGACGGACGCTCGCGAGCGACAAAAGGAACAGTGGGACATGAAGAAAAAGTTCGCGGCGGAAAAGGGCATCAAGGCAGCGAGGACACGCAAGCCTCGCCCAGAGGCAGAGCAGCACTTCGACGACTGCGGCGAGGACTTCGGCAGCATCACCGTTGACGGCAAGGACTACTGGAACGAGGAGCGAATATCCGAGTACCATGTGCAGTATCTTGACCGGGCCCTTGTCGACCAGGAGGAGCAAGACATCGCGGACATGGTGGACCCGACGTGGTGGCTCTTTGGCCGTTCTTTTTTCCACTCTCGGGCCCCAGACGCAGCTCATTTTTTCTCCTTCGACGCCATGCTCATGGACTTCCACACGCAGCAAAACGACAATGAACACGTGGACATCATGGAGATCCTGGGCGGCGAGGGTCGCACTACCCAGTGCTTGGTTCGCCGCAGGTTTCGGCACGGTTTTCGTGCAG